CAATCAGTGTTGAATGGTGAACCTGTGATCCCATACAAGATCATCAATGATACAGGTCAACAAGCGTTTCTTGATGCAAGGCAAGCAGATGAGGTTGAAGTTGTTCGTGAAGGTCCAGGACAAGCAGACGATGTTGAAGTTGTCCCTGAAGGCAATGTGGATTCAGCACTCCCTCCTATACCAGAAGTACCTGAAGATGAATGGGATATACGACCTGGTTTCTTTGAAGAAGGTGAAGAGGAGGAAGACACTGGTCCTATGGAAGAAGACATCTTTTCGCAAAGTAGAACTCCGGAGAGAAGAGTTGAAAGACCACGCCCAGGAGATGAAGATCATGAACGCAACGTGAGACCTCGAGTAGAGTCTCAGCTACAACCTGAGTCGGAGAGAGGCTCATCACTTGTGCCATCTCGAAGAGACTCCTTTGTGCCTGATCTTACTCCAAGTGGCTCCGTTTCGGGGGCGCCACCTTTTAGTGGTTCCGTTTCAGGTGCATTAGCTTCATCGTCGGCATCATCTTGGCCATTGCGAAGGGAACTTTTGGATGACTTACCACATCAATTGCGAACACATCTTGAAAGAGCTCGTGAGAGAGACTCAGAACGAAGTCCTGAAGAACAACAAGAAGCACGAGCATTGTTTGCATCATTTCTGTCCCAGGAGGTTGGAGTTCCTGAGGACGATGAGTTAGGCAAGAAAGTGCTGAAATCAATCCACTATGAATCAGCGCCACCTGATGTACAGAAGAACATCATGGATGCCAGAACCAAGGAGTGGAACAAGTTCCTTGAGTTCGCTGCTGTTGTAGAAATTTCAAAAGAAGATGCTGAGAGGTTGATCGCTGAAGGACATCAATGTATTCCTAGCAAGCGGGTTGATGTTGATAAGAATCAATTTATGAAGGGAAGAACAGACCAAGAATATGTACCAAAGTTCAAAAGCCGGTTGGTGTCATGCGGCAATTTCGAAGTCAGTGAAGGTTTGAGATCAGACAGTCCTACAGCAGACACGGAAGCTCACAACATACTTTGCTGTTGGGCGGCGATCCAGGGTGCACAATTGCACAGTGCGGACGTCGCATCCGCGTATTTTCAAGGTCGTCCTCTCGACAGAGTCCTCATTATGAGACAACCCCGAGGAGGTCTCCCGGGAGTTGATCCAGAGGTGTTTTTCCTTGTGAGAGTGCCTGTGTAGGGATTAACTGACAGCGGTCGAGGTTTTTGGTTGAGACTGGACGGAGATGCCCGATCCAGTGGCTTGAAACAATCCAAGTTTTACCCGGGATTGTATTTTCTTCCAGGAACCGACAAAGATTGCGTTGCACTTATGGCGACTCATGTAGATGACATCTTGTACGCATACATTCCTGAGGGAAAGTCAGTGATCGACAGCTTCTTGGAGAAGTTCAACTCGGGATCTAGTGAATCAAATTCGTTTCGCTATTGTAGCAAGCAATTTGAGCGTACTGCAGATGGAACAATCACCCAAGACACTTGTGACAACACCCGTCGCATCAAGCCGATCAAGATCGCGCCAGGAAGATCAGCGTCCGAGCCGTTGGGTAAGGATGATGTGACCCGATTACGATCTGTAACGGGATCCTTGGCATGGGTGGCAAGGCAGACTAGACCCGATTTGGGTTATCGTGTGAGCCGCCTACAGTCCAGTATTTCTGGAGCAACAGTTGCTATTTTGCACGACGCAAATGCCGTAGTACAGCTGGCACAACAAGGTATTGAGAACAAACTTATTTTTCCAGGTGGACATCTAACCTGGGGAGAGGTTGGTATCATTACAGTAACAGATGCTTCATTTTCAAACGAGAAGAACTACAAATCACAACAAGGACGTTTCCATTTTCTTGGAGACATCAATGAGATCAAAGACCCCAAGACAACATCCTATCGGGTGATGCCATTGGGATTTGCATCAAATACAATTCGGCGAGTATGCCGCAGCACTCTTCAATGCGAAGCTTATTCACTGCAGGCTGGACAAGAGAGCGGTGACAAGCTACGTGGAGCATTGGCCGAGCTGATGGGCCAACTTGACTCGATGAAAACATGGTTGGATGACAGCCGCAGCTGCATTCCACAACTGATGCTTTCAGACTGCAGGTCTTTAACAGACCATCTCGCGAGTGAGGTACTCGGCAGGGTCGCAGACAAACGACTCGGCATTGAGTTGCAGTCGATTCATGAGTCACTTTGGCAAGACGGCCGGAGGACCTGGGATATGCATCATGGCGGAGGAGACATCGTTACCTGGATTGCTACAGGGACTATGGTCTCGGATGCTCTGACCAAGAGCATGCGCCCGGACCTCATCATCCGCGTTTTGAAGGAGTGCATTTACCGTGTACAGAAGAAGCCTTAGAGCCAACTTTTTTCACTAGCATCATGTGGTCCTTGAAGAACAGGTTGAGTGTGAGTTTGACCTGTCTAATGTATATTTTGTATAGCCAAGTGATCACATGCCCCCGTTGACATTTGGCTTTAGGGCCCTTGAGTCATACCGCGCTGCCGTGGTAAAAGTTGGGCACTAACGATCCCGTTTCCAATTCAGACAATATTGTTTGGTTAGTTTTTGTTCAAAGAGTATTCAAAGAGTCCATCCTAACTTTAGGATGTTTGCTGCAGATGTCGCACTTGATTGATTTTGAGCAGCACTGCGAAAAAGGCAACACAACTCCAACGTTTTTTGATACGGTCCACTTTCAGTATGAATATATGGGTTTCTCTGAAACTAGACCACCCCAATTCCCACGGACTATCATCATTTTTGTCACTGAACTGGCTACGTGGCTACGTATTGGGGTACCACGGATCCCCCCATTTTGAGACAAACTCAAGCATCATCAAAGGAAGTTTAGAAGTCAAACTTCCGACAATATGGACAGATGAAAAGCAGAGATGGGAAGAGTCAGAGAAGAGAAGAGAAGAAAAAAGAAGATCAAAAAAGAGAAAGTCTCAGAAGAAAGAAGATGCAGGTGCGCGAAAAGGTAGGAAAGTCGCGAAACACTGTATTTTTCCAATCGGAGGGTCGAAAAGTAGGCGCGCTAAAGCGGCGGGTGCGGAGCCAGCTGGCCAGATGAGAGATGAAAAATTGCACGCCGTTGTGGCGCGAAGCACATTTCCAACTCAAAATGTACAAAGCACCTCAGCTTCGGAGCACTTTTGGAAGTTGAGATGTTGAAAAAGTGCACACCGTTGTGGCGCAAAGCACATTTCGAAGCCAAAATGTACAAAGCACAGCACGTTCAGACCGCTTTTGGAAGTTGAGATGTCGAAAAAGTGCACGCCGTTGTGGTGCGAAGCACATTTCGAAGTCAAAAGTGTCAAAAAAAATGACGGGTTCGGAGCACTTTTGGACGTTCAGACGTTCAGATGTCGTTTTGCGTGGCAGGCGCAAGGGATTGTGCACCTTGTCAAGAATGAGCAAAACGTGAGGGTTTTGTAGCATTTTCAACTACAACCACCCACTACACAACACTACATTACACTACACCACACTCCACTACACTCCACTACACTCAATTACACTACACTACAATACACTCCACTACACTACATTACACTCCACTCCACTCCACTACACTACAACTACACTACGCTACACTACACTACACAACACTACATTCCACCACACTACACTACATTACACTACACTACACTCCAATACACTACACTACACTACACTCAATTATTACACTACACTACACTACACTACGCTACACTACACTAAATTACACTACACTAAACTACACTACCTTCCACTACACTACACTACACTACATTAACTACAAGTACAGCTACAACTACAACTAAAACTATACTGCATTACTCTACGCTACACTACGCTAATTACACTACACTACACTCCGCTACACTACACTAACCTTAATGACCCTACACTACACTACGCTACACCTACAACTACAACTACAACTGCAACTGCAGCTGCAACTGCAACTGCAACTACACTACATTACACTACACTAATTACATTACACTACGCAGCACTACACTACACTAATTACATTACACTACGCTATACCCCACCCCACTACACTACAGTACACCTCACGACACCACACCCCACTACACTACACCCCAATACACTATAGTACACTACACTCAATTACACTACACCACGCGACACTACACTACACTAACTACAACTACAACTACAACTGCAACTGCAACTATACAACTACAATATATTAAATAACGCTACACTACAACTACAACTACACTACAACTACAACTACACTACACTAATTGCATTACACTACACTACGCTACACTACGCTACGCTACGCTACACTACACTACGCTACGCTACGCTACGCTACCCTACACTACACTACACTACACAACACACTGCACTGTACTGCACTGCACTACACTACACCGCACTACACCATACTACACCACACTACTCCACACCACACTACACCACACCACACTACACCACACCAGACTACACTACACTCAATTACACTACCCTACATTACATTACACTACACTCATTACACTCATTACACCACCGCAAATGCAACTGCAACTACACTACACTAATTACACTACACCACATCTACAACTCCGCTACACTACAACTACAACTACAGCTGCGCTACACCACATTACATCCAGCAGTTGTGGGTGAGGTGGACCGACCAGGTGACCACTGCAACGATAGTAGCCAGTCCAAAAAACACAACTCCAACCACCTTTCAGTCCATCAGTGGATTCGCTCTGCCATCCGTGATTCCCAACAACCAACCTCTCCTATAGGTGTCCTATTTTTGAAACTTCCGCCACCGCCTTGTGCGGTACTACTGGTATCAAGATATATTAAGATTGGTCAGTCATCTCCCAATATATCCCCCCAAGAGCACAGTACTTCTGGTGGTTCTAAAAAAACCACCATCAGATCTCCATTTCATGCTATAGCTTTCATAGTGTTCGGGCTTAACCAGCGCCAATTTGGAGCCTGAGGCTGCATCCATCATTGCGGGCTTGGGTGAGAAGGGAATCCAGGGAGAAGAGATGAAGGTCACTGCTGTTCAGCTCCAGTGGTTCGGGCGACCGAAGAATTGCAGTGGGGGTTGTGAAGTTTTCTATTTTTTCGACTTGGGAAGTCGCGAGGAGAATTTGGGGGTAGAGGATTAGCTTGGGATTGCAACCAAATTCGAAGGCCACTCTGGGTTGACTGGACTGTCCCTTTGAGACACTCCAAAGTTTGGTTGTTGTGCTGAGAATCTTCACCAAAAGATTGTGAAAACTTGCATGAAACAACTATTTTTTCTTGGCCCATGGAAATCTGACCTCTTTCTCTGGAAATTACAATGAACACATTATCATATACAATAATATATATATATATATGTTCATATACTACCTATATTGAGACCATTATTAGATTCAATTTTTCCAACGAAATGGCCATTGGGCAGCCAGCTTTCCACCGACGCTTCGCACGGCAGGAGTGTGCCAAGTTGCTGGTGGCCAAGCGAGAAGACTTGGAGGCGACGACGCCGAACGTCCGGTTGATTGAATTGGTGAATGTTGGTTATACAATTGTTATGTATTCAATATATATATATATATACACATACACTGTGCATATTGTATATATATATAATACATATACATATAATAATATATATACACCGTATATATATATATATACACACCGTATATATAAATAACATATATATATGTGCACCGTATATATATATACACTGTATATATATATACACACCGTATATATATATACACTGCATATATATATACATACACCGTATATATATACACTGTATATATATATATACACCGTATATATATACATTATATATAATATGGTATATATACATACAATATGTATATATATAAACAACATTAACCAATTCAATATATCAATATATTCCATGATTGTTGGATATTTTTACGCGCAATGTAATTAATATTATGTATCCCTATAAATATATATATATATATACTTGCATATATTTGGCCCCTGAAGCAAATGATCAGACTTTGGCCCCCCAATGTTGAGGTGTTCATTTTCGAAAAGAACCTGGCGTTTTTTTGCGCGCAATGGGATTCAACAATATTTGATACGAATTCATATGGTGTCCCTTGTATCGTTGGGCAATATCATCCATTTTTTGCCTCACATGTGGATCTCCATTGTATCTCTTGCCAAATCAGCCAGCTGATTGATGTCCTGGAAATCTTACAGGAGACCATGTGAGGTTTCAGTTCTTTTAATGTTTCAACCATCCACTCAATTCCTGGCAATTTGCCAACATTACGCAGTTGGTGTTGGTATGTGGAATATGCATCCCCGTTCTTAGTGCAATTCCCCATGTGATCGGTTGAAACCACCAACCACCCAACTTCTCCCACAACATCATTTTTTCTATGTGTTTTGACCATAAATCAAAGAGTTCCGTGCAGTTGTTCCCCATACCTTTTACCACCACAAAATGGGTGCATCTAAAGATTGTGTAGTATATACACACAAAATCAAGGAAATCTCGTGGTTCACCAGCCCATCATCATATTTTCGTATGGTTCTGGCCAAATTATAACGACCTCACTGTTCTCCCTCACTGGATTCATGGTTAATAAATGTTAACAAGAGGAATCATCTAAAATGGTCTTATTTCAGGTTAGTGAATCATTATAATTTACCCAGATGCTTCCATCAAAAGTGTGCCATTTTATCAGAATTCCCTCATTTTCAAACACCCAAATGACCCCAAAATAGGTTACCCATCATGTCTCCAGGGGAAATCCCCGTTATGTTCCAATCATTTTTTTTTAAAATTGTAGTTCATCATCATAATTCCATTGTCTATACGCATGTATATATGAAGTAGATACATATTGAATATTTTTATGTATATGATATTTTTCAATACATAGGATATTTCCATATACTACCAGCATACATATATCTGGGTAAATTATAACGACCGAACCCTGTTCTCCCGAGCCTTGGAATCATGGTTTATTTTAGGGAAATCATCCCCTTTTATGGCCGAACAATTCAGGTCAGTGAATTGTTATATATATTTATATATATATATATATTACATAAATAAATATTGTTATATTACCCTCTGGTTATTGTTATAAATAAATATAAGTATATATATATATACATGAGGATTCCCATGAAATGGGATGGATGACCATACACCATATACCCATTAATACATATATATATATGAATGATTAATCCATATACCCATATATTAATATTAATCCATATATATATATTATACCCATGATACCAGATCACCATATACCCATTATATATGAACTGCATAGGATTCAAAAATGGATCTGCCGCAGGCGCTAGCGCCCCTGCAGCTCTTGCGTTTGACCGTGGCGGCCACGAAATCCCAGGATGTCGCTGTGGAGGCGATCTCGACTTGGGGGTTGCGAAGTGAGCAGTGGCTGCTATTGTTGGGTAAATCATGGGAAAATCATGGGAAAACCATAGGAAAACCATAGGGAAACCATAGGAAAACCATAGGACAATGGAGGTTTTAACCCTGGTTGGTTGATGATTATAGTCATTTCATATGGTTTTAACCATCAAAATCTAGGGAAATATGTGGATATGATATAACTGATAAATGATGATAATACCCTCTGGTAAACGTTTACATAACTATGGAAAGATCCACCCATTTTATAGCTGGGTAAATCAAGGGAATTTCTATGGGCCATTTTCAATAGCTATGTAACAAATTACCAGAGGGTAATTGATGATTCTAGGGGATTATACTACCTTATATACTGGGGATTACAATAATCCAATAGGGGAACCCCTATTTTTAACCAACCAATATACTGTAATGGAATGACAGAGTGTATTTTTGAACACTGCTCAAATCCCATTCCTTTTTTGCGGTGTTTCATAGTTACCATTACTTAATATTGGTTACCAACTGGTGATTTTGTCCACAGTATCATAGGCATATGATGGGATGAACATCGTAAAATTATAGGTAATCTTAAATTGATATGATATATGCGAGTGTCTGAAAATTGAGTATTAACCCCAAAATGGCAACTGCAATAGGGACATGATGAGGAACTAGTGGATTGTGGGGGTTTCCCACAATTTTTGGACACGCCCATATTGAGGGTTTATACCCAAAATAGTTACTGTACTATTAAAATTGAGTGTTACCACCTTTTTTTTGAGTAAACTGGGGGGATCACATTCATCCTGGGTGTTTTTTGACATTAAATGCTGGGAGAATGTTTTTGGATATGTGATGGAAAAACCAACATCAACCCACATGATATGGGTGTGTTTTAAAGTGGGTCTTGCAGCCACAAGCAAATAGACAAATGTAGAGCAAGCACCGCTTGAGGATTTCATTGAGAAAAAATAGTGTTTTTGAACCAAGAAAAGTGGGTTGGACAATTGGACTTGACCAGAAGAAGTGAGCACTTAGCAGCCAGGAACAGGATCTAAAAGAACCACCATAGATGGGGTATGGCAATGGAACATCCACCATTTTACCGATGATTTTTCCCACCGATTTATAGGGATTTCCCATTGCCTAGCTGGCGATATCACAGTTTGTTGGAGGTGCACTGACAAAATCTGACACATTTGCTTTTTTTTTTTCAGGGCCAAAGATAAGGGGCCACCAAGAAATTGCCCTTTGGTTATTTAAGGTAGCTATGGAACATCACCATTTTTGAAAAGTAAATTTCATATATCATCATCATTTATCTATCAATAGGGCCATTTCGCTATGTTAAATAGCCAGAGGGTCGATGTTTTGTCAGCACAGCACCCCGGGGCTTCGCCAACAACATTGAGGTTGAGATTTAGATAGCAAACATGGGGATATCACCAAGAAAAGTCAAGATATCAGCGGGGAATAGTGGATATGATTTGCTCATGGGTGGTTCCACATGTCCTTCGCATCTTTGCTTGGTTTGATTCCCTGGCCTGTAGGCTCTGGATGCAGTGGCCTCTGCCGTTGGAGAACACAGTCTTTGGCTCCCGAATGGGCCATCCTCATTAATGCTTCTTCTGGTATTCGTCAATCAACAAAGTTGTTGGTAAATTCACGATGTTCTTTGGTGAGGCCTCCAAAACTGGTTGTTGTTGTTTTTTTCCCTAGGCAGACCCAACATTTTGTGGGCACACCCCCCCCGTGCAAACAAATCTTTTTCTCCAACAACGTGGCCACCAAGCTAAGAAACTGGGCGAAGACAGCGTAGCCGAAAGCCATTGAATTTGAATGCACGCATCACTCAATCAGATGGACTCATGTAATGGCAGTACAAAATTATGCGGTCAAGAAAGGTGCAAACAAATCAATAACTAACATCAAAGAACTGTATATTAATATATACTACAATCTACATATGTACAAATCGTAAATGCGGGAATTGTATATATATATATATATACAGTTACATGCATATATATATTATACACTAGATATATAGTAATAGTCACATATGTATATATATATATGTATATATATATATGTACGTATAGACAGCATCATGCACATATTGAGATTCAGAGCAACTCCTACCTTGTTGTGTTGCCAAGGCCGCATTGGTTTTGAATGCCTTTAGCATGGAGGATGCGTCGAAGCTTTTGCTGGCCGTTGCCAAAGCCAAAGCGGGTGCAGGCCTGTGCGGTTTCTCATCGGGATTTATCCTATCTGCTGGTAATTCAAGATACAATGCCCCCCCGAGTTATGTTTGTTGGTTTAAAAAAGCCCCGGTAACCAGTTTCTTTTTTACCATAAACCATAGTGAAATTGGAGTTATGTGAACCCCAACTTAGCTATCGTGGCCGGGGGCATCACATAGTAGGGAAAATGACTCATTGTGATGTTGCATAGCTATATCAAACTGCCAGAGGGTCAAGAGGGGAATTACCTTCTGGCTATTTAACATAGCCATGGGAAATGGCCCATTCATAGAGGTTTACCTATTAAAAATGGTGATTTTCCATGGCTATGTGAAATAACCAGATGGTATATATATATACACATATCGAATGGAATATTATCTACCAATGCTGGCACTGTAACCAAAGGCGATCAAGAAATTTCGGGGATGTGGTCAGCCCAATAGGCTGATGCTATAGACGAAATCACCACTATTGGGGATGGTGACTAGTATTGTTGATGTGCATCCCCATGATAAACCATCCATAGATGCGACTTTGCCGATGGCAACACTGATGGCAACACTGATTAGTCAGTCACCAACTGGGCAATATCCCATCTATAGATGGTGTGTAATCATGCTCATGGAGGATTTTAGACTACAAATAGATGAACATCACTGACTAGCTTCTGTTACGCACCTCTTCAGTAACGATGGTTCTCCGACATGTTTTTCGCATGTCACCCCGGGTGGATCTGCTCCCCCAGGACGTCCATCAAGCAGGGCTGGACCATCAAAACGGGTGAATGTAGATCCCCAAAGATGATTGAACGATGTCGCGTATCGTCAGGTGCTGGTGTGCAAGAACTCTACGAGCGAGCGGCAGAGGTGCCCGGTTGTGGGTCGTTTTTGACAAGTTGCGAAGGGGAGAATGGTCGATGATTGACCTGCTAGCCACGTTTGATTACTCTGGAGGTTTTTTTTTTCATGATATAGGATATATTTTTTTTGGATTGATGTTAGTAAAGCAATCATAAACCAGCCATCGTGATTGATGGTTTATAGCCATCAAAATGGGTGATGACTTGGGCATTCGAAATCTTGTTTTTTTTTTCCCTGAACTCATCATGGGGGTTCCAGGTGATCCCCCCAAAGTTGTCGGAGCTCTCCTCTGGGCAGCTCATCAAGGCCCTGGGATCGGGAGATGTCGCGGATGTCATGTCACGTCGTCACGTCGTGATGATGGTTGGAAAATATTGGAAATCATCCAATGGCCTGGAAAGTATATCCTGATTTTGGCACATGTTTTTGCATGTTTTTGCTGAATGACTCCTAGCCCAAAATGAAAAATCCCCGTGCATCATATCCTCATTATATCATATCCAATATATATATATATATCCAAATAATTCCATATATATATATATATATTTACATACGTACGTACGTACGTACGTACGTACATACATACATACATACATACATACATACATACATATCCGTTTTGAAGCGGCCATTCTTTGTGCCGCTCGTTTTCTTCGCTGCAGGTCGTCTTGGCCGTGACCAAAGTGGAGGCCTGTCGACCGCTTTTGGAGACAGCGGCGCAAAGTGCCACAGCCAGGACGGGTCGGAAAGTGCTGTGGCGACACCCAGAAGTTATTGGGGATGTCTATAGCATTCTATAACCCATATGGTGATAATAATAATAATAATATGGATAATGATGGTCATTAATAATCCATTTTTTTTTTATAATGGGATGACACATATCTTAATAGGATATAATAGGAACATCTATGAACATCTACCAAATTTAAGGATACTTGGAAGTTCGAGTAAGTGGAGATGCAACTGAGGATACGTTTTTTTTTTTTCCCCAACTTATGGGGGTGATTTCACCATGGTTATAGCCATAAAATAAACTTAACTGCCCCCCCGAAATATGTGGACCCTCGGTTTTCCAAACATTGGCATGCTGGGACATCAGGATCGAAATGGAGGTTAGCTGGGAAAATCATCGAACTAAATGATTCTGAATAGTAGATCTTCCAGCAAACCATGTTGGAATATCGGAGAATACTAACTAACCATACGAAAAAAGACCAGTCATAGGATATACCCGAGTTGTTGATATGCAGGTAATTAGCCACTAGCCAAGTTGGTTTACAACTGACAGAATTGTTGGGTTTATAGCAGATGTATCGACTTAGTTTTAATGGGTTGAAACTAATTTGAGCTGCAACCAACCATTATGGGAATATAATAGGGTTATAGTTATAATATGTTATAATGTGACATATATATATAAGATTCATCGATGGAAAAAGACGGTTTATGTTTCTGGAAACCATGGTTGTTTTTGTTTTGTATTTTTGAATTCCCGAAGTGATTTATGGATGACGGAAACATCCCAAAGACCAAACCCCTGAACCCCCCATGGTTTTCAATTTACGGATATTTATATATTTATGAAAAAAACAAGGTGTGAAACCTATGCTACATTCGATGATCTACAGGGAAAAAGTGATGATCATCGATCATATTTCATGGTGAAAGACCATGGTATTTTGAAGATTCCCCAAGAGAAGGAAGTGAAGCAGCAATGGTAGGGAGTGTCATTGTGATCAATACGCTCCGGTAAACTAACATAGCTATTGAAAATGGTTCATTTATAGTTGATTTACCTATTAAAGTGGTGATTTTCCATAGTTTTTTGTATGTTTACCAGAGGGCAATTATGGATGAAATAGAAGGACCTCACCGCAACGTCGCCACAAATGGTGCTGTTCGTAAGGGAAGCGCCCCAAAAAAACCGGTTGGTGAACCATCGGTTTATTCAGCCGCTCGCATGGGGATTTACCATCGTTGCATGGTCAATCCCCAAAAGTGGATGGTTTCACAAGGTCCGAAAAACGACCAATTTAGTGACTCCATACCCTCTGGTAATTTAACATAGCTATTGAAAATCACCATTTATAGTGGATTTACCCATTGAAAATGGTGATTTTCCATAGTTATGTTAGTTTACCAGAGGGTAACTCCATCATGATATCGAGAATCAAAGACCGTGGAAATGAGATGACTCCATGAAGTGGATGAGGAACAATCTACAGGCACCCCCGTGTTCCATAGTATTCCATAGTCAAAAGACAAACGTTGTTTCTGTTAAAACCAGCGCTTGAATGACCCTGCTTGATTCCGGCTTGACACAAAACTCCGGGTGGCTTGATGCCCGAAGATATCCCCAGCAGCGATGTTGCAGCGATGTTGGTGATGAACGGCGATGAATGATGGCGAATGGCGGTGAAGATGATGTTGAATCTTGATTTTGAATTCCGATGATGGCATGGATTCTGATATCGACATAGATGTTGGGTTCTTCCAGAGTGTTGATGTAGCAACATCCAGCCGATGTGCCAGGGTGGCGGACATCCAGCCGTCCCAAATGATGCTGCTGATGCAAGGGCTGCTGCCTTTAGGCGTCTGGGGTCCAGCCGCGTCCCGTAGAAATGTAGCCATTGTGGGAATCTCAGCGCGAAGATTTTCAGTGTACTTTCATTACCACATCTATGATTCTCTTCAACAAAACATGTCAAATTTACTCACAAAATGGGGATTTCATGGATTTGTATGTGTATATATATATATATATGGTCCCGTCCTCCGTCTCTCCACCCCCCCCCTCCCCCCCCCATGGGTTGGGTCCCCAGGTAGCAGCCCCAATTCCTTCTATTTGCAAGCTACTGGCAGCATTTCTGAGGTCCAGCTTCGTATTTGCTAGGTCTTTGCAGCATTTCTGACTACCAGCCTCGCATTTACTAGGTACATGCTACCTTTTAGGCGGCCTACGTAGCACACATACTCCTTCAAAGTACCTACGTGCTACCTATAGTCATATATACATGTGCTATGTATCTACTGTATCTACTTCCTATTTACTACCTGTGTACTCTGACAACACTACCTGTGTTTAACATATACCGTACCTACCATACATGTCAATGATGCCATGCATACCATACCTATCATATCTATCATACATACCATACACACCATACATATGAAATGTAATTACCACACCTACCATACATACAATAGCAAACATACATGCCATACATACCACACCTACCTTACATAGGAAATATTCCACACCCGTCATAGTAACCATACATACCATACGTACCATACAGACCATACATACTGTCATATCAAACATACCATGCCCAACAGATTTACATACCATACCTACCATCCATACAATACCAACCACTCATGCCATACATACCATACCTACCATATATACCAAACATACCATACTTTCCAAACATACCATACCAGACCGACCATACACACCATACATACCCAACATGCCATACCACACCCCCACCACACCACAGGGGGGGAGGGGGGCAGTGCCACACCCCCACCACACCACAGGGGGTGGAGGGGGAAGATCTCATATGGGGCCAGTATATGGGACCCATCCCATGGGGGAGGGGGGGGTGGCAGGGCCTGGTGCATATATATATATATATATACATACATATATTTGTACATATATATATAATTATATATACACATTATATATATGTTGATGTGTTTTCCAATACGTTGTAGCCAGAAAGATAGAGTTGAGTAGTTCGACTGCGTTCGATGAACGAATCGATGGTTTCCCGTGCAGGTGGAGAGCATCCGGCTTTACAGAAGATGGCGGACAATTGGGCTGCAAGCCACTTGGTTGGGCAATGCTGGGGGGTTCTATGGCTCTGTTGGAAGGGGGAATTTCCATGTAGATATGTGGGCTTAAAGCCCATTTCATCTTTGATTTTACCATATTTTACATAGAAGAGTTGGTTTTTCCTTTCTATCTTAGTAGGATTTTACCATATTTTACCTTTCTATCTTTTGCGGCTTTTGCGGCATTGATTCATCAATCTGAGTTCCCAAGATTCGCCACAAAACGATGGAAAGATCCATCATTTTATAGCTGGGTAGTTATCAACTATGTAACTATTTCGACTGGACCATTTTCAGTTATGTGACAAATTACCAGAGGGTATATTTGATTCATCAACTTCAAATCGGATAACACATATCCAAGTATTTTCAAATTATATCATCAATTTCAAAGTTGATTGAAAACTCACTAAGAACTAAGCGAAACTGGGATGTGATGTGACAGTGGTCAAAACACTGACACCTTTTGAACATCAACGTGGTTGATTTTCTTGGATATTGATCCGATCAGATTGATCAACTTTGGGATTATACATCAATAAATTCACGTTGAACTGGAACTGGGTGGTGATCATGTGACAAAACGGCAGATTTATCATTGGGACCCCCTGGTGCCGCAGCCAAAAATAAGCCCCTGGTGATGATCGAGCCACTTTTACTGCCATCCAATGCCATTCGGAACATCGGAACATCGGAGCATCTACAGAAAATCCATGGCACTTTTCGCCGGAATCCAACATGGCTGGAAAATCTATGGGATTCTTCAGCCATGACCGGAGCCAAAAGATGGGGGTCCGATTTAGACCAACTCGAGGGGCTCGCCTTTGAGAAGATTTCCCAATACATACCCTGGTAAACATACAAAAAACTATGGAAAATCACCATTTTTGATGGGTAAATCCACTATAAATGGCCATTTTCAATAGCTACCTTAGTTTACCAGAGGGTACATAGTGATTCATAGTGATTCATAGTGATTCATCGTGATTTGATGTGATTTGTCTATAGCACAGCTATCTCCCAGAACTGGAAGACACAAGATGTCACTCTTTGATTTACTGCTCACAAAACATGATGTTTCTCGATATTTCTTGTGAACGCTCCATAAGGAACTCATGACATATCACTGACGTTTGCATCGAGATATTCCTTTGACTCCCTCCTGCATGGATCTCCTCCTCTGTCCAGGCTTCTATGAAGCCACACGGCTGCTTGGCAGTTGATGGTCTGAAGATGTATCACTTTGCCGAATCTTTTCTTACTCCAAATTCCATGGTTTATCATCATGTTCTCCATAGAAGTTGCAAGTTTTGGGGTCTCTGTACTTTTTTTTCACAAAGCCATATCAAAACATATCAAAACCATTGGGGGAGCTCCAAGACTAGACTTTATCCAAGTAGACCATGTCCAGCCCCATGATTTTGGGCGTACTTCCTACGGTCGTCCCTCAGGGAGGGACCTGGACCATATCCCTACGATTTGAAGCTCGTTTGATCCATTTTTTTCCAGTCCTTTCCTATATCTCCCAGAATGATTTTGAGAAAAGAAATCGAAGTCCTGGTACTGGTAATTCCTATGGTAATTCCTATGGATTCTTGATGTTTCTTGCAAGAATTGCCCTGGAATGTATTCTTGCTCAACTATGTTCCAACTTCGCGCAACGCGACCCAGGATGGAAGGGCTTCTGGGCCCTGACCAAATCGAGTCGCGACGAAAGGACCTTGAAGCCAAAGGCCGATAAACACGGAGATTCAGTGGTTATCCTTGTGGAAAATTGTAAAAAATGCCAGTTTTTCACATCTTATAAGCAGATTACCGTGTATGGATGGTTGTTTCAAAAAGATGTTGGTTTTGCATCCCTAAAGATGGCATGATTATGCAACATGGTTCTGAAAAAACCGTATTTTTCGGGGTTGAAACCACCGATGGTGGCGATCCAGTGATCCGGGTCTTCTTGGTTACCCGCTTTGAAGGAAATCGGCATTTCTCAGGATTCTCTAGACACTATAGTCATCCAATGGTTCATAGGGATTTGTAATAACCATTATAAGGATCCTTATTGTGGATGGGATGACCATCAACCATATAGTGAGTATTGACCATGGCTCATATGTCCATACGTCCCTCCACACTTCTGGATGAATTTGATCATGACCTCACATCGTGACGTCACTGGAATGATGCTTAGTTTTCATGACCATCCCAAATGGCCAAAGCTACGTCTCAGAAAGACGTCGAAAGGGAGGTTGGTGAACTATTTTAACTCGGCCAAAAAGAAAAAAAAATGATTCATCATGTTCCATTAAAGCCCATGAAATCCCTATTGTTGGTGGATAAACCCGCAAAGGAGACCCCACTAAATCCCATTAAGTCCCACTCTCCATGAAACCACATTAGATCCCATGAAACATTCCATGAAATCCCATAAAAAAAATAATCCCATTAGAATTATAATCCCATTGTTGGGTAAATATCCCATATTAAATCCCATGAAATCCCATATTAAAAAAGTGGTTTAGATCCCATGAAACATGGCTATTGAACATGGCTATTTATAGTTATTGATCATGGCTATTTATAGTGGATTTACCCATTGAAAATGATGATTTTCCATAGTTTTTTGTATGTTTACCAGAGGGTAAAGTATTGTTGGCATGGCACCACTGAAGCACCGAACCACCGGATTCGAGCTGAGGGCAGCTCTCGGCAGATCAGCTTTCCAAGCTGGCGCAGGTCACGGTGGATTTTTAAGCAGCAAAACATGGGGATTTTTAAGCAGAAATGGAAACGAGAATTGCAGAAAACCTACAATGATATATCATTGATGGGTAATCATACCATTATGTATTATATAAATTTATATAATATATCATTATAATATATTAATGGCTGATTACAATCATTATCAATTAAAATTACCCAAACTTATTAATGGCTGAGGGTTGATATGGGTTCGTTTGAACATGGAGATCTCCCTTTTGATGAACATCAAATAGGGTGGGGGACATCATTTTCTAAACCAGATAAACCAGGGAATTTTAAGTGTTTTCCCAAGAGTTTCACTCAAAGCCAAATTGAAGATCTTAAATGACACATTTTAACATCAATTGGATACTCAACAAGTATCTCTAGGTAGTGATTTCTATGGCATATGGCTGACTTACCCTCTGGTAATTTAACATAGCTATTGAACATGGCTATTTATAGTGGATTTACCCATTGAAAATGATGATTTTCCATAGTTATGTTAGTTTACCAGACGTCATATTGCCACGAGTGTTTTAAATCAGTGGGTTCAAACCACAGCCTACACACGCCAGATGGTGGCACCAGTCATGCCTAAGCATCAGTCCTTCTGGAATGTCACTTGGCAACCAAAAAAGATGGGCCGAATCAATGATCTCCCAGAGATTCCCCAAAGGTTTCAGATTGAAGATGCACCAGCCCATTCCATCTGGAAGTCAGCAATGTTTTGGAACAAACTCAAGTTGATATTCCATTTGTATCTCCCAGAATCGGCGGATGGGAACATTTACTGGGGAAATCCTGATCTTTTTTCGGGGGAGTAAAACTTTTATGGGTTTCTGGACGTTTCTGATTAGTCGATGTGGGAAAACCAATCCTGACTATGCAAGGAATCCAACTGACTCTAAGCAGCATGCACCAAATTTGATAATCCCTTTCAAGCATTTGATATCCTATCGATCTATGATCTGTCTATCTGTCTATCTTTCTCTTTGTCCATCTGTTTAGCTGCCTGTCTATTTGTCTATGTCTACCTACCTACTGATCGGTCTATCTGTCTTTCTTATCTAGTCTATCTGTTCTATTTTATTCTGTTCTGTTCTATTCTCTTCTCTTCGAATCCAATCTAGCCTCGCTGAATTTAACCTATCTATCCAACCTATCGAATCTATCCAATCTCTCTAATGTATCCCCAAACTTCCAATCTTTATTCTATCCTATATGTATAGCTATCTATATACATTATACATCATTATACATCTACAATCATCTACAGTTCCATTGGTATTGGACCCCGTCCTGTCTAGTTCCCAAGGCACTGGGCAAGCGCCTCAGGGAAATGCCTGAGGAGCTGACAGATGTTGGCATCGCCAATCTGAGCCTTGGATTTCGGAAAACCTGGGGAGTATGATTGAAAATGGTGATTTATTGCTGTTTAATGGAACTTTATAGTGATTTAATGGATTATAAATGGGATATAGCCTCTGGTAATTTGTCACATAGCTACTTGAAATGGCCATAGAAATAGTGAGTTTCCCATGAAAAATGGTGATTTTCCATTGTTATGTTAACGTTTACCAGAGGGTAACATCTAGTAACACTGGTAAATGGATGTAATATGATGTAAATGGTTGCCAATATACCTGGTGATATATCAACTAACTGGTTCGTTGGGTAGTTTGGCCACCTTAATTTTCTGTTGCCGGTTCGATGTGGGAAAATATCATGGTTGGACATCGATCACAACAATCTCTTGAAGAGTATGCAAGATTCGCCATGATTCAGAAGAAACTTATATTTCCACACTCCATGCTTTTCATATCAGATGAAATATCTTGCGGCTGGAAGTTGGTCTGAACCTTCACTTTTCCTTCAGGAAGTCAGCTTTTCCGGATGGAGTCCGGAGTCCTCAGAGGAAACAGGATGGGCAGTGCTGAAGGTTTCAGCCTTTTTGCTGGGGCAGTTTCCAAGTATTTTCCAACGTTTTTTTTTCTCAGAAAGTGATGTTCAGACTCTTGATTGCAGAATTTGAAACAATAATCAAACTCATCGATCATTGAAGCGTCCGGATTTTTCAAACGTTTTTTTGGTCCACTTTTCTAAATTCATGTGGTTTACGTTTTCTTCTGATGATATTATATAATTCATATAAGACCAGCCAGACGAAAACTCTCACACAAAGAAGACAGAACTGGTTGGACTTCTATGCCATTTCCTTTCCGTGTCAGCTACTTTTCTTGGATCCCTTTTTGGCAAAATCTCAAATGTTTGATTCCCCAAACTCGCCCAAAACTTCTCCGGGCTTTTGAGGCAGGTCCAGACTTCGAAAAGAAGGAGAAGATATTGAAGAAGGCCTTCCGAAACCTGGTGACATTTCTGGCGCTGTTTTCTCTTGGTTCTTTTGCAAACCATCGGCTGACAGAAAACTTCAAGAAATTCAACAATTGACTCCAGCTTTGCCAAAGTCTGGATGGCAATTCTTGGCAAACAAACCTAAACCGTGGTAGGGTCACCTCGGTCAGCGACCTGGTGCAGCCAGCGCAGGCATATAAGGAGGGAGGTGGTGCCATCACCTCAGAGTTCAGTGAAAATCCACCGGGGTCGGGAGACCGAATACCTACCGAGGCTAAAGAGAAAAAGGAGTGGCAGGGAGTCTGGGTCGGACGGTCCGCGGGGTTGTCATGTTTCAGAGATACCGGTTCTAGCAGTCGGAAAACCATCAGGCTTCAGCCACTGAGAACCCAAGTTTTGCTCCTCAGACCAAAGACAGACCGATTCCCACTGATCCCACTGCTGCCAAATTTGAGTAGCAACGAAGTCCAATTCAACATGGCTGTGTTTCCCCCAAAATCGTTCAGGGCCTTGGTCAAAAAAATCTCCCCCAGTGGAGCATCCCTTCGCCAGGATGGTGACAAAGAGAAAGAGAAAGATCGGGACCGGTCTCGAGATCGAGAGCGAAGAGACCGGGACAGGTCTCGGGATAGAGACAGAGATCGAGAGAGAGACCGAGATAGAGGTAGAGATAGAGAGAAGGAGAGAGATCGAGAGAAGGAAAGAGATCGAGAGAAGGAGAGAGATCGAGAGAGAGAATCTTGGTTGCACTGAGGCCTAATTACGCTCCTTTGAATTACAATAGATATCCAAGTAATTCAACAATATTCCAAAGACATGTATATGTATATGTAAGTTTACATATCTATATATACACATATCATGTATCTTCTGGATTCTAGATCTTTAATCTGACACGACAACATCCGTGTAGACTCTTTGGTCACAAAAACCCTAAGACAGGAAGTGGTGATTGTTTTATGCCAGTTGACATCAAGGTAAATGGCACCGATCGCGGTGGCTGTCCATCAATATCCAATAATATATATATGTATAGATGTGTGTATGTGTGTATGTATATATGTGTATATATGTATATATGTATATATATGTATATATGTATATATATATGTATATATGTATATATATGTATATATGTATATATATATATATATGTATATATGTATATATGTATATATATATATATGTATATATGTATATATGTATATATATATGTATATGTATATATATATATGTATATATGTATATATGTATATATGTATATATGTATATATGTATATATGTATATATGTATATATATGTATATATGTATATATGTATATATGTATATATGTATATATGTATATATGTATATATGTATATATGTCTATATGTCTATATGTCTATATATCTATATATGTATATATGTATATATGTATATATGTATATATGTATATATGTATATATGTATATATATATATGTATATGTATATATGTATATATGTATACAGAAATAGTGCATTGATGTTGAGTTTGGTACGTTTGATTTTGCATGGATACTGCTTCCTCAAAAATGATTGCTGCTTGCCGTTCCTTGTCCGAGAAAAACTGTGCTTCTTGAGAGCAATATTGCATGTCTTGGAAACACATTTTTGCGAAGTGGTGCTTTCTAAAGGAGTATACGGAGTAGCTTGACAAGGAATACTTCGTAGCTTCGTGGTAAACTGTCCCATTAACCAACCATTTGAGGGTCATGGTACATCCCATCTCCAAAAAGGGGTTGGTAAATGTCCTGTTTCACATCGTCCAACTCTTGGGGATAGTAATAATCAGTACCATCTGGTTATGACTAACATTTTGCCATGGTATAGATGGCCCATTTATGGATGGTTTACCTATTAAACATGGTGATTTTCCATAGTTATGTTAGTTTACCAGAGGGAAATCTCCAACAGATACCTTTTTCAAATGATGTTCAAAATTTCCAAGCCATGGGACATTTACCAAGCCCTGTTCAACAGGGCCCCAATTTCACAAACTTCGGGGATGGTGACGACTATGGAGTCCCTGCATCATCCTGGCACACTAGAATATAGCCTCTGGTTATGACTAACAGTTTGCTATGGAAAATGACCCATTTATAGACGATGTAGCTATTAAAAATGGTGATTTTCCATAGCTATGTTAAATAACCAGAATATATTTATTTCAGAATCTGTGAATGTATCTGAATTTGTTTAAGAATTCATGTCAGATGTACTGGCATGTGTCACAATTGTCATGGTGAAGATCACGTGTCTTGGGTTTGCCAAGGGCGTACGTTGTAGAAAAAGGTTTGGGAACACTTTGCAGCAAACCATGGCCAATGGTCTTGATCCTCAAATTGAAATGATTCCAGCACATGTTTCCTCAAATTGGCATCAAGAGTCTTTTCAAACATGAATATTATATATATATGCATACATATATGATACATGCATATTATATATGTAGTCATCCTGGAGTAGATATAAGATGGACAATTTCAAAATTCATCACTAGAATGGGTATATCGTTGAAAATTCCATATTCTATCTACTTCAGGATGATTATATATATATGTATATATATATACACTTATAGACACCTATTACCTATATTACTATATATATATATAGATATCATATGCCTATATATACTGTACCTATATTACTTATAGATACCGATATATATATATTTTTACCTGCTGATATATATATATATATATTCTATTCACTGCTATATTCCCCGGCTCCATTGTCCTAGGACGGAAATGGTGCCACGAACCACGGCGCGCGGCCGCGGACGGAGGAGGAGATTGAACGCCAGAAGAGGCGGAAACGGGGTGGACACCTTGGCGTTTGGTCAATGGAAAAAAGACCCAGAAAAACCTCGAGAAGTGCTGGTTTAATGGGATTATCATAGGATTATCATAGGATTATCACAGGATTATAGTGGTCAATAATAAATATATATATATATGGGATTGTAATGG